TACAATTGTTGCACCCAGAATTACACTGTGATAAGCCAGTGATGTTACCTCTTGGGTCAGCAGGTACGAACATGCACCCTTCCATTCACAGAGTGAGGCCGGAGTGCTCAGCCGAGTGATGTTGTGTTTATGATGTTACAGTCAGATTACATTTAATTTTCACAGAGTTCTGATAATCATAAACTGAAACTACAGATGTAAAATCCCACATTGATCTTTCCTGATAAAGAAATACGCTGTTATCTGTCCAAGCTTTCATCTAAAATCTTGTATAGGTGTGGTACCATCATGGCAGAGTCAGATTGCCTAAAACACACAATCATATGCCTTTTGATTTCATTCAATGCAATAATGTTGTTGGAATGTATGTTTTTGTATTTGCCAACGTTTGTTGTTCAGTGTCCTGTTATGTCTATGTAAGTCTTTCTTTCTTGCATTCATTTGTCTTTCTTACTTTCTTTTTTATGCAAGCAGCACAAATGTTATTCTAGCCATGCAGATAGTTAAGGATTTATAATCTGTAAATCGTAAATCGACAGTTACTCATTTTCTGCAGAATTGCTAGGCAAATTAAAAATGGATTCAGTTTATTCCTGGCAATGTGGAGAGCACCGTGTTAACCTTTATCAAGGGAAGGACATTTTAGAGAAATGAAAACCATTTAGAGGCCTTCTCTTTTGTATCTACTGAAACTTTCCTGAGGGCCTTGAGGAGTGTGTTTTGGGGAAGATGTACTAATGACTTCAGTACTTCAAGTTTAAAGTTCTGTCTTTCGCCTTTACTTGTTGCTGCATGACCTGATGTCTGCCTTTGTACATGGTTTGCCAGCTACAAGGTGTGCTATCTGAGCTATCTGGGTTTTTTTGCTTTGTCACCATGAGCTATAATTATACTTAACAATATCAGCTGACCGTCAAATTGACTTATTTCCTCAACGTGACTAAGTTATGATGAATGACACTGATATAGGTAAAGGTCATGCATTTTTTCATAAACACACATGGACATGTTTTATCATTAATGCAAGAGGATTCAAGTCATTTCTGCTATGAGTAAGCAATATGTAGATTTTGGGAAAAAGACCAGGAGAGCCTATGGTGTTTTCAGTCCTAGTGTGGTAAAGCACATAAATACACCCTGTTTTTCACTTCCCTACTTCCTGTAACTAATTGTGTCCTTTGAAAGAGAACATTATTTGTGGTGTTCTACAGTTGACTTGCCATGTTTTATATGCTTGCTCACTCTGCATTCAAAACCATCTAATAAGGAAATGTGTTGCAGCAAGAGACTGACCCATTTAGAGTTTTACAGTAATACGTTCCTCGTTTGTGAAAGCCTCGTCATAGGGTGTATCTTGTACTCGTGCATGCCTGCAGGCCTTCACAGAGAGGCCTCTGTTCTCTTACTGGTATAGCATCTTATTTAGAGCAACATCATTTGCCTATGTAAACCAAGTGGAAATCATTCCTTTACAGAGAAAGCCTGGTAAAGTGGAAGAGGAAGAGATTGTGGAAAAAAGGGAGAGATGAAAGTACTTTTGTCTGGAGCTCAAGCTTTGCCTAATTCCAAGCAACTAGTATATTTGGCTGTTTTCCAGACTATAATAGCAATTCAGAAGTCAATCCTTGCATCTGACTTATCAACCAAACAATGGACTGGTATCAATAGGAACAAATGGACCAGAAGGGGGGAAAAATACTGAGATGCAACTGGAGCCGCCCAGGACATGTGTGTATGTATAAAGGGATGATCTAACATTGGGCCTGACTTTAGGACCTTCAGCTCTGTAGCTTATTTTAAGTGGATGTAGTGACAGCCAAAGCAAAGCAATCATGGTCCCCAGAGAATGAATCCTAACAATTTTGGTGATCCTTTGATTTTTTCATAGTACTACCAGCAGGTCCAAGTTTCACATGTTGGCATGTTAACATGTGAAACTAAGACAATGTACATGGTAACAAACCTGCTCAACACTGGCATGCTAGCATGGCTGTAGACTTACAATCCAGTCTCTTGAAATCCCCAGAGGATTGGTAGACCCCCCATGATATTGAATGCAGAAGCTGATAAATTTAGTTTATAGGAAATAACAAGTAAAGGTGTCACAAAAATGTGCAAATGGCCATTTTTAAATATTTTACATGCAACATACATACTTACAGTGAAATGTAATTTCATGGCTTAAAGATTTTAATATAGATCATGAAATTATGAAAAAATAATAAGTTGTATTGTAATGTTTGTCGAGCGGTGAATTCAGGAAGGAAGGGACCTTGAAACTGTTCAGTGAGTCCAAATTTCTTTATTTCCCTTTTTTTTGTTCAGCAGTGGATCAGTGCAGCTAATTTACAGTGAGGATCAGCTTGGCCCAAACCGAAAGAAAACAACAAACTGAATAAAAATGAAAACAAATGAAAAACAACTGGGGAAAAAAGATAACTAGAGGTATCAAAAAGAAAAATTAACTCTGGGCTATGCCCCTTTTAAGCTTGGGCCCCTGACAGCCAAAAATCCCCGTGGCCTGCTCAGCAACATCCTCTAAAAGTCCTGTAGCTCCTCCTACCCCAGGAAGCAATAATTAAGGAATCAATTAACTTTTTGCATACATTTATCTAATACCCAATAGCTAAGTTTTGTAAGTCAAAAGTGGAAAAAAGTCACTACACATATTAAAGGACAGAATCTCAGGGTTCCATCTTTCTTGGGGACCAAGATGACGAGCTGCTCCATTCGCTGGTGGATGACTAAATAACTTCCAGTTCCTCATCATTTCAAGCTCTCTGGGGCCGTTCTGGGACCTTGTAGACAGGCTTGTGAAGGGGCTTGGGATCCTTTAAGGTGATGTGGTGGCGGACAACCTCTGTGCAGCCAGGAGTTTCCCAGAACAGATGCAAGGGCAAGATTTGAAGAAGTTACTTCCTCTTCTTCTCCTCCAGATGGCTCAGGTCCACCTGTGGTTCCTCCTCTGGTAAATACTGTTCCACTGAGTCATGTTCCTCCCTCACAGCCTTGATGAACAGATAGTAAGTTATCAGAGGTGGAAGCGTGGGACGAGGATGAGCATGTTGAAAGTCTGCAATGGCTACTTGCAGGTCCCTCCTAGATCTCACAGAGCACATCCAAAGGACTTCTGACCTGGTGGGCATAAAGCAACTCAAAAAGCAAAAACCCCATCAAGGCCTGGGGGACCTCGCGGTATGCAAAGAAATGGCAGCTGTTTGTCTCAGTCCTTTCCAGTGTCTGACACAAACTTCCTGAGCATTCTTTTCAGAGTCTGGTTAAACCACTCAACCAAGCTATCTGTCTGAGGGTGGTAGGGGGTAGTCCTCAGTCTCCCAATCCCTAACAGTTGATAGGCCTGTGAGAGGGTACGGCTCATAAAGTTGGGACCCTGTCCGTGAAAATGTCCCTGGGGATCCCTACCTGAGAGAAATATTTAAGCAAGGCTGATGCTATCTGCTTAGCTGTCACCTCTCTCAAAGGGAAAGCCTCAGGGTATCTGGTGGCATAATCACTAATGACCAGAATAAACTCTTCACTGGGCCCACTATATCTACTCCTATGTTCTTAAATGGAGCACTAATGACTGGAAGTGGAACAAGAGGTACAGGGGCAGTAGCTTTTCCTGCTGTCAATTGACATTCTGGGCAGGTTTTACAGTATTCCTTGATATGGCTGTACATTTCTGGCCAGTAAAACCTTTTTTACTGCTCACTGAGGGAAGTAATAGAGGGATCCCTCTATGCCTCCTTAAAGATTTGACAAGAGTAGAATCTTCACGCTGCTGCTTAGCAACGTCAAAGGGTAATGAACCTCCCTGCAGTTCAGGGGTTGAAATTTCTTGCTGTCTCTGCGTCTCTAATCTGCCCTCCTGTGTGACTATGGCTTCTCATACAAACTCTTCCTCATGGAAAGGCATGAATTTCAGCGTGTTTAGTGTTTAGTGGATATGGGTGCTGTTACTGGCCCTGTGTCAGGTGTCATGGATGGCTGTCTGCTATGTTGCTGAACCCATTGGTGGCAGTGCATCAGGGAGAGGAGCAACTGAACTCTACTTTGCTTTGGAACGTGTAACTGCACCACAAAACCTAACATAGCAAAGACGGGTGGCTTTGTACTTTCTACAAGTTTCTCTGCTTTGTCTAAGCTGGCTAGGAGAGCTACTGACTGGACCACAGCCCTTAGCCATACCCTCAGACTTACCCCTCCAGTGTAATGGTAGGCCCCTGCACTTTTGTGTGCCGAAATATAGATGTCAACCATTTCTGCCAGGGTTTCAGCTGTTTTCAGGGGTAGCTCAAGACCTCCCTAACCCTTCCCTCCCACCAAGGTTGACTGTAATTTATGCATAAAATATATTAATTAAACCTGTGTTAATAAATTTTTCTGCCACATATGATCCACCTTTCAGTTGATATGGTCAGCATATTCTCTCTTGGTTGCTTATTTACACAGTCAGCAGATACAGAGCCCCATTGTCATTCACCTCGAGGCATGTTTCTGTCCTAATGAATGGAAATCTAATGGTTCTGCTCTCCTCCTAGTGTTTATCTTCCCCACCTCCTGAGAAATATATATCTGAATCTTCAGCTGCTAAATGCTCCACCTTATTCACCAACTATTCACTAACTTTGTCTGTTTTGTGCTGGGAAGGTAGTGTACAGTTGGTTTATTAGAAGTCGCTGCTGCTTGAAACAAGGTTGGTGAGAGCGGTGAGACTGAACCACAACAGTAGAATAATACAAACTGCAGATTGTAAAACTGACAGATAAACTGCAAAAGTGGGTGATAATTATATAGATTAACCATACAAGTGGCAGGTTTCCCTTTACTTAAAGTCATTTTGGCAGTTGCTAGCAGCTTTAGTAAATCTTTAATAAAACCTGTTGATATTCTCATGCACTGCCTCACGGTTCAAAGACGGAGGAAGAACACACATGAGGTTTGAACCAAAAGTGAAAAAGATTTATTGAAGTAAAAAACAAAGAAGCAGGGGCAGAGAGCAGGACTTACCAGCCCAGAAGCCCCCTCCACTCTGCTTGGCTTATTCTTGAAAGGGGAAGAGAGAATAGACCAAGCAAAGCAGAGTGGGAAGCAGGAGGGGTTGTCACAATATAACACACACATTATTTATGAGCTTTATAAAGGAAAATGTATTCTGGTTTTAAGAATGGTACATGTGGGTAATTCACCCCCAACCTGCTGAATTATGTAAGGCATCACTTCAAGGGAAACGCAGAGTAAACACTCTCTTGTCTGAACAAGTGAAAATAAGTGGTGTGAGAGCTTGTATGAACCCTCGTTTCTTGGAAACTTTCTTGCTTAAATACCAAAGGTTTGTTACCTAGCTGGTCGGGGGCGTATATGGGGTGTGGGCGCAATAAGAAACCCAAACACCTGTAATATAATGACACATATATAAATATTATTGTTTTATTTTTTTTTATTTTGATGGAGCTCCTTGTGGTGAGTGTCAGAGCAGAGGAGGTGATATTTTAGCATTTCCAACTGTCATATTACGTAATATTGTGAGTGATCTTTAAGGATTGGATTGGATTGGATGTGACTAATGTTTGCTTTTGCAACAAGGAAAAATACTTGAGAAAATGTAACCTCAACAACTGCAATTATGGACAATGCTGAAAAGAAGTGAAATATTACTTCCCTGCATGTAGGTTCAGTTTGAAAAAAAAACATAACTTTAAAAAACTGTAGGTTTTCTTTCATATTTTGCATTTTTTATTGAAAATAGAAATAAGAACTGAATATTTAGCTGCAAGCTGAATGAATTTTTAACTTAATACTCATTCACCCAAAGAGAAAACACCACACAGAATACATACGTAAACAACAACTAATAACTATAACAAGCATAATAACCAGCACTTATACAATAACATACATAACATTTGAAATGACTCTCCCAACATTGTATACTGCATTGAACAGAGAACTTATTTGGTTTATGTAACATTTTTACAGTCTTTTAATGCACATGGCAAGAAATGCTTTTGACAGGAGCAACACTCTTTGGTCAGTCAGAGATTAAGTTGGCCCTCTCAGTGTTCCCACATTGTGGTGAATCAGGTATGAGGACCCCTCTGTGGAGAACAGGCTGAGTTTGAAATGCAGGGACCTCACACTCACAAGCGGGATCTGTCAATACAAAGGAGTAGATTCAGGTTTTAGATATTTGAAAATGCTAATGGTCATGGTGCATGGTCATGAAAAGAAAAGTGTGATAATCTAACCTGTTTGCTTTTCAGAGATACAGCCTCCATTTCTTTTCTGTTTCCTCCTTTGATACACTGAAATGAAAAACCGGGAATCAGATGAGGAAATAGACCAATATAATGACAAATTCAGTGGTTGGTTTTCATTCAAATTAGTCAAGCATTTTGCACAACCCAATATATGCATGGTACTTGCAATTTTACAGACAGAAATTACAAGAAATATGTCTTAAAGCCCATATCCAGTCCATGCATTTTTGTATAATCACAAAGCTAATGCTGTACACTTTGCAAACACAAATCTTTCCCCAAGATACGGAAGGCTACAAAAACGACAGCTATGTTAATTCTGGTATGATTTGTACTGTAAGAAATTAAAATATGATCACCTTATACAGCACTGTATAGTTATTTTTGACATGATGTGTTTTGTACTTGATTACAACTACAATTATATGACCTTGGTGGAAATAAATATTTACTCAAGTGTTAATTTGAGGTACTTGTACTTTCTATATTCCTACTACTTTACACTTTTGCTCCTCTACAGTTCAGAGGGAGGGAGGGACCATTCTGCATAATGAGAACTTTTACTTTTTGTAATTAAAGTATATTGTGATGCTTTTAGTATTGCATTTTCCAGCCTGTAACATTTAGGAGGATCTATTGTCAGAAATGGAATATAATAACAACATTAGAACTCTATTTATTGTGGTTATTTCCTCAAGCAAGTCTGTAATGTTAGAGTGTGCATACCAGGCTTGGGACTGAGTGTAGTGTGGACACATGAACGGGGCCAAAATCAAGTGCTTACATATCAGAATGTCAACACATATAGGAGAATACTGCAAGACTGAGCATGCTAGTGTAATTTTCTACCTACCGGTTAGCAGTACATGAAGCACCAGAGTGACAATTATGATGCCAGAGAGACAAACACCAGCTGGTACAATGACCCAGGTCAAATCCCAAGGGGCTCGGCTGGAGTGCAATGATGGATCTGTGAAGAGAATTTACACTGTTATAGAATAGGCGTGGGAGCTTCTCTGACATGCTGGTATGAGTAAACCAAGAGATGGTGAGAGGATCACATGGATCACTAGAATTTAGCTCACCTTGCTTAGCATGGAGGGTGGCAACAGTTTTTGTACGTATTAAAAGCTGGAGCTACTGGCTCCAGCTTCATACAGTTTCTCAATGTTTTGATTGTCAATTATGCTTAAAGAAACTGTAGCTCAAATGAAAACAGTGCAACAAAAATGGTCTTCACTTTCATCAGAGCCTTTATGTTTATAGTCATTGCACATTAAATTTAAGTGGAGTAAATTATATCAGTACAGAGAATCCTTTTATTTCTTAAAATTATACCAAGAAACGACTTAAGGCAATTAGAAATTGCGTGACAGTAAGCATATGGTCTGTTAGTGCTTCAAACAACGTTCCAAAAGAAGAATTACTGGAAACCGTTTACACTTCAAACTAATGTGGCGCCTCAGGTTGTGAAGTAAGGACAGGCCCAGATTCGACAACACAGGATGTGACCAGAAGAATAAGAGAAGAGAAGAAAAGAGAAAAGAAGAGAAGAGAAGAGAAAAGAAGAGAAGGACAAATTCATCTCTAGTTTTTAAGGAGCAGTAGTCCAAAAAATCATACTTACTGCATTGCTTAAAACAGTGATTGACTGTGGCAGCAAACTTGACATCGAGCCTTTTCACCTATTCAAATACAAAACGAGTTGGTATTCAAAGTCATTGTCTGTCTAAAGGTAAAGGAACATGCCCTTTACCTGAAAGGATGTATTAACTACTACACCAACGTACCTGGAGACAAGAGTCACATAGTTCCTCCGCCAGGTTTAAGCCAACAGTTTTTTGTTTCTCCTGAAAAGCAGACAAAAGACATAAAAAAAACCTTTAGGAGCTTAACTGTGCAAGCATGTAAGTTGCCATGGTTGCAATCTGTTTTGCTTTTGTTGCCTCTTTTATGTGCTGTCAAACATGATGATTGACACTAAACTGTAACGCTTCAACAAAAGAAATAGATTACACGCTTAAACGAGCAACAAAACATGTTGTTGCACTTTTGATTGCATGAAATCAGTGTACTGGCAGATACCCAGTGATTTTTTATAAAACATTCATCTAAAGGCGTAATTACCTTTTATTGCTTTGTTTATAAGCTTTGAGATTACAACACCTTAGATAAAACACATGCAAAATGCTTCCATACAGGGCACAAGGGGTCAGTTAAGGTTTGATAAGTATTAAATGATGTGAATCATATGTTCTGGCCTAATTGGACACCTTCGATAGATTTTGGTACGATGAGTTCGACATCGTTCTCCATCACCAACATAGAAGACCATAAGATAATATCTTTTGGAATCTCCACTACTGGCACTTCCTCCAAATTCAAAGCAGCTGTGTGATTACCTACCACATGCATGGTGTGTGTTTCAGTGACCTGGCACGATCCTTCAGACCTCACACACAGGCCCACGGAAAATGTTGCAGAGATCTGTGACAACATCTTCACATCTTCGTGACCTTGTTTTTCTGTCACAACCACCTGCCACGCTGGAAATGATTGCTATTATTATAATGACCAATTCTTCAACACCACATTGCATAACGTCTGTCATTATTATTATTATCATCATAATCAAAATGTGGCTCTGAAATGACAGTCTGGTAGATTTACTGCCACAGAGTGATGTAGCGGTGTGATATGATTAGCAAGAAGTGGTACCTTGGAATCTGGCATCAGAAAAGGGACACCTAGTCCAGGTCTGAGACCCTGTCGTGAACTGAAAAAGATAACACAATTATATTTTATAGTGCTCTTCATATAAATCTCATAAACATAACCCTTTGTTCTAAGACCGTAATCTAAATGTACATCAGATCACCCTATTAAACAGACTATGCCCACAGAAAGCAGTACCTATGAACAGTTTAACAGCTTTAACAAATGAGTGCACAAAGTATAAAAAACTACACCAGTGTTTTGTTATGGTGGAGGAAATTAGTTTGGAAGACACTCACATTACTTGGACTTTAACAAACAAAACTGGATTTTAATCATCTTGAGTGTGAATGTTGGGGAGAAGGGACACAATTACCAATTTTCTAGGAGGGGAGGAGACAAGTCATATAAGTAGTAGTGTAACAGGTTGCTGTTGGCAGGGAGTAATAAGTAATAAGTGACACTGCAAATGACAATGACAATAGTACTTCTGCTTTGTGGTTGGGTTACCAGGTAACTCATTGCACAAATAAGCTGGAAAGGATGATGATTTGAATACAGCTTCCCCCTTGTTCTCACTTTAGTTACCAAAGTAAAGGCATAATAACACACTGTTGGTTGTCCTTATACAGAAATGAACTGGCTTAGCAGAGGGAAATGCTACTAGAATTATTCAAAACGGAGGCATTTGATTGTTTTCATTCAATTTTATAACCAATTTTATAACTATACTCTATACCACCAAAATAAGCATATACTGTATGTCGAAGGGAAAACATTTTTCTGCCATTGTCATGTATTCCTGCAGAATCTAAAGCTTCAAACCAGACTTAAGGAAGCTACAGTAGCCTACTGTGCCCGACCAATGAAAAGTTTGGCACTAAACCTCCGTTAACCCTGTTGCCAGAATTTGTGCAGAGCTAATTTAAACAGTTGCTGGGTTTAACTTCTTATTTAACGTACAAACATGAGATTGGTGTCAATCTTCTCATCTAACTTCTTCAAATAGGTGTATTTCCCAACATGTTGAACTATTCCTCAAACACAGAGTAATTTGAGTGCAGCATCATCAGTTACAACACAGCACAGAACAAAGAAAAAATACCTCGCTAGCTTCATAAATCCGGATTTAGTCCATGATTTAAAAAAGTGGTACTGTACCAACAATAACATGATTAATGTCGGCTGTATTGTTTCTCTACAGTGAAAATCATTAAGAGCCAGAGGGGTAAAGTGATCATTACCTTCATACACAGCTGAGGGTGTGGATCCACTTTAGTAAACGTTATCTGAAAATCAAAGATTGATGAAATGGTTATTATGACAGAACACAGAGCAGTGTTCCAACTAGTGTTTTGTTAAACCTGGCTTAATGCCACATTACTCCTGTTTTGTGTAGGTTCATACTTTAATTTCTTCTTTTTTTAGGTCAGCTGGAGTCAGCTTGCAGTTAGAGAGATTCTCTGCATCAGTGACTATTTTTGTATCAACAGAGAATTCCCTTCTCAAGTGACACAGCCTCGGGTTTAATCCACCGACGCTCTCTGATCAAAATACAGCCTGAGTTTCGTCTAAGGATTCCCAGGTGTTCTTGCAGCTCTACTACGTCAGCAGCTGTTTGGATATATATATAATGGGTGACTTATAATAACAACATGACTCAACATCGACATGAGCTGAAGCAAGAGGTTAGTAAAGTCGCTTTGAATCATTTTAAAAGGAAGGGGTTTTAAATTCCTGGCTATACTACACAGTTTACTTTAACATATAAACACTTTTCTTTGACATCATCTGTGCAAAATGAGACTTGCCGTGTGTTACTGCCGAAAAAAAAAAAAGCCGTCTTCAAAACTTCTGTCCTACATACACAGCATGCTCAGTAATTGAGGAAGATGTGGGTGGAGTAATTTGATACAGCTGACATCATGAGCCACAGTCAGATCCTCAAATAGTATCATGACGTGTTACAACTCCTGACACCTAGATGGTAACGCTCAGGAAGTCATAAAGGTGGGTATTTTTTAAAGGGAAGTAGGTAATCTGTGAGCTACAACCTGACACAAGACCTCCTCTTTTCTGAACTCTGTCGTCACAGAACTGCAATCCAGACTGTATCTGTCTGGCATGAAGACAAATTTCAAGTGATTTGTCACCATAACAAGCAGCCAGAAACCTTGCAAAGTAAACACAACTAACATGTACCTTTTCTCTGCTAACATTCTGGGAGGTGTGAGGCAGATCCACGCAGACGCTGTCCTCTCTTTCCTCACACAGTGCAACCACCGCAGTAACTGGACAGGCAGGCTCCCATGATAGCATCTCCTCCAGTGGATCAAAAGTAATTCCAAACCACAGTTCCTCGAGACCTGCGGGCATGTGAGGTCACAATCTATTCACATGATATGGTATCAGTTTTGAAGTACTAAAGCATGAACTCAGTTTATTACGGAACTGAATCTGACTAATATCAAACAGGTGACTCACGGTCTTTGAAGGGGCAGACCTGGACTCTGGGAGCATCCATCACCGCTGACCATCCCTGTGAGGAATTTCTTAATGAGATCAGACCCTTTTCCGAAACTTATTACTAATAGACACAGATTATAAGATAAGGAGTGCTGGCAGAAACTTTACCTCGATGCAGAGGCAGGGCAACGGTCGGGAGTATGATAGAGTGGCGCTCTTTACGGAGTCCTCCTTCTTAATCTGGAAAGTAAACAAAGCTTTAGAACATTTATACATCTTTCTTTAATGTGTGTGTGTGTGTGGGTTGGTGTTTTTACTGACACAAGCAAAAAGTTAGTTTTTGAGACATTAACCCCATCCCTGTTGAGACTACTCATTTATGAAGTGATTAATACTTCTTAATATTAGTTATGCATCAGCACTGCATTAGTGGCATAGTCACCTTTGCTCTCTTAACATTTGCAGGGTCAATGAGACGATTAAATACTTAACAAATATAAAGCAAATGACTCACTAACCGGTTAACAGGAGAAAGGCTTAAAGTAACAAAGGGCGCTCTGACATCCAAAAATCCGTAGCCTATACTAGGTTGGTTCATTTTCATAGAAGGCTAAATTGAGATAATGGTATTACCATATCAGAGGCAGGACTTTTGGTGTGCACAAAGTCGATCCTGTCACTAATGGATGGGCAATTTAAAGTTTTCAGTTCACCTAGCTTGCAAGCCTTTGGACTATGAGAGGAAGAGCAGCCCAGGTCTCTCTTGACATAAATCCCATAGTGCTGTTTAAATTCTTTATTCAATTTAACTGTTGCACACTTGCAAAACCTCTCCATTATGAAGGCAAAATTGTGTATAATGTCCCTTCATTTTCAATATTTTGCAACACAGACTGTCATTCTGATTCTCAGTTTCCAATAGAGAAACTAACCAGTGTATTGGCCCCTGTGCCAACGCAGATGAAATTCTTATGACACAGACGGATGTGGTAGTTGTGATTCTCCAGCATGTCTGACACACTGACATTCAGCTCCTTCCTCTGGGGGTTTACATCATACGACAGCCTCCCAGCTGAAAGAAACATGTTAGTGTGAGATTTCAAGCTCAGTCATAGGTACATGTGAGGGTTAACATTAGATGTTATTTAGCATTGTTGTGGCTTTTTCCAATATCTTCTTTTTTCTGGTCAAATATTGGGTAGTTTTACTTCTTCAGGTATGTAAAATGTATTAAAATAAAACTATGTCAGAGGAGAAAGTCACTCTCATTTAATTGATCAGGGCCAACCAACATATACAACCTATGAGAAGACCACTGCCGTGATATCAGGCAATTTAGGCCGTAACAATCCCCAAAAAAGTCAGAAAATTCCTGGAGGGACTGATGTACTGTACTTACTGATGCATTCTGGGACATGTCTTTGCAAGTCTTCGCTGATGCATTCTGTGGAAAAGAGTAATACTGTTTTAATTACTAATAGCCATGGGGACAAAGACTACAGCAATGTGACATAACTCCTGCGTGTGTAGCTTTTACATTATATCCACCTACTACATTTTTCTCCTTATGAATCATTTACATTCATCTTAACATAACTGGGGATGACTGGGGAAGTGTTTCTAATGTTGTTTCTATCAATTACAAAGAAATACTCATGAGCTTACACCATTTATTGACTTTAATTATTTACTAACACATTGCAGCTTAAGCTACTTAATTTCCTGTTAACAGTCAACAGACATGATCCCATCAGTGTGTGTTTGCATATGTTACAACACGCACAAGTTCTTACCCGGAGCTTCATACGTGCCAGTCCAGGTTATGCCACAGTAGCTAGGCAAAGTTTTCACTATCACTTTGACTTGCTGGCTCGGGGAAATGTCAGTGCAATCATTCTCAACCTCCACCTTCAGCAAAAGAGCAAATGGAAACACGCGAGTCGTCACACGTATGCCACGGTTCAGCAATCTCATCATGGAAATGATCTCATATATTTGGACCCGTATCAACCTACTGTAATGTCATGGTGCACAAAAATGGATTACGTGATTCGGAAATGTTTGCTGTCAAATTAGCAACTAGTCTGAGTGATGCAGAAAATGCATCACAAAATATT